AGCAATGGATTTCTATTAATACTTTTAAATGGAGGATGCATTTGAAGCTGCACAAGTAAAGACAGGTATTTTCAGGTGGTTGATCAGAAAAGCAGATAATATTTCAGTCTTTTGCTGCGATTAAAAGCATAAAAGGTCTTTATTTACTACCCTATATAGTTTCTAACCTTTAGCTTTAGTCCTGAAATGGATCACAACCAAAAGAACAAGCTCTCTGTCAAAAGTAGCTGCTTATAAGTAATTTGGCTGATCTTAGTATGGAGATAAATTGAAGTACTAAATCCTCAGGGGAGGACCTCAGCATAAGGAGTAGAAGAGTAGCATTTAGGGAATTTGATCAGGAAACTTTCCAGGAGAATCCTTTTGATTTTTATTATTATTATGTACCACTGAGAGGAGACCCTGAGGAGGACTAAGAGCTTGCTGGAAGGACTGTTCATCAGTTCTGGTCTTGAATACTTTGAAACATCAGTGAGCATATGTTTTCCCTGGGGAGAGGGATGTCTAGGTTTCCTCCTGGTCTTGAGTCCTGACTTCTTATAAGATAAAGAAAGGATATTTGTGTCGGAAACTACTGTACGTACTGCGTAGTAAAATAGCCATGGCTGCAACAGCCTGTAATGGATTTCTTTTTTTTTTTTATGTAACAAAAGCTACATTGGGAAAAATGTGATTCAAAAGGTAAAATATTTTCCATCCAATCTGTATCTCAACAAGAAAATAACAAAGATAATATAAACATATTCTTTAATTTATTTGCCTCATTTGTCTTGTTTTAGAAACTATTCCAGTTGCCTTTTGGCTAGAGGTAGAGTCTAGTTTGGATGATGCCCCAAAATATTAAACTAGCTCTACTAAAAACATGGTGGAGGTCCTGCACAGACTCAGCCAGTAGTTTTTGATATTGTTGAACATTTGCTTTTTGTCCAGGTAGGATGTGCTTGAATATTTCTGTTCTGAGAATTCAAAATAATCTTAAATCTGTTGTTAGCGTAGGCAGCAGTTTACGAAATGGCAGTGGGTTTATGTGTCATTAAATTTTTAATTGACACTTGACAACAACATTTTCCATTTCAAGTTTTAAATGTATTTTAACCATCTTTCAAATCCTCAGACTCTCACAAAAGGGAATAAATGCCACTGAGCTCTATGTGGTGCACCATTTAATGAAGAAAATGCCAAATCTGACATAGGGATGTTTTTTTATTTAATTTTTTTGGATTGCATAGTTTGGTTAACCCCAAATTCTCTCATTGGAAAGCTTTTCCCACATTTTTGTTTGAATGCTCAACCCTTCAGTCTGATTGATTGAATATGGCTTTATCAAAAGCAGAATCACACAGATTTCTATAGGTTTGTTTCAGTTGGCAAGAGTTTAGTGTCAAGCTCTGGTAAAGCCTTCCAATGTGTTCCTGGACCTCTCGCTGAGCTGCTTCTGCTTGTTTTGCCAATCCATTATGTCGGTGCTCTGTCTCTGGCTCTGTTTTATATATTGTGCAACTATCTAATCCTCAGAGGATGTAATCAACACTTTAGGCCAAGTTCTCTTCTGGTGTACAATGTAAAGAATCCAATCTGTCTTTGCAGCTGGGCAAACGGGAGGCTCCGTGAGGATACACACTGGATGACCTTGTAAAGAAGATCCTGCCTGATGATAATCACTCAAGCATTGATCAAAATAATTATCACAGCTTCTTTATTTCTTATCCCACATCTGGTTTATCAATCCCATATCAAGCATCCACTGTTATACTGCAATGAAATTCTGTGAAGGTGAACAAACTAAGCTTTAACATGCTGCAAAATGACGCACTGTACATTGAAGCGATTTCAGCATCCCGATGATAATCAGTTTGATTTGTTTTTCAGGCTTTAAGATAAAATGATAAAAGTGAATTAAAATGCTATGACACTCTAAAAACTGATGCCACAGGGCATTGGTTTTGAAAGTGCTCAGTCATTCAGTTGCAATGACTAAAAGTAGAATAAGGTAGAAAATTACCTGTTTCTTGGGTTTTTCTAATCGACATATTTAACAGTGAGGCTGGGTTCTCAGCAGTTCGGAAGTGTTAGGGTTGCCTGATTAATCCATCCCAAAATCAAAATAATCACTATCATCACCAAGATTCAACCAGCTAGCAGGTGATTTAAGGAGAAGTTGAACATTTTTAGTAACTTTTTCATTTTGTTTTCTTCCAACTTTAAATTATGAATAAGTAAATCTTCCCACTAGTACACTGGAATCAAAACACTTCTTAATCTTCTAAATCATATCTTGGCTCGTCTGGACAGACTTAATTTTGATCATTTTGGAAAAAATATCTTACTCTTTTTAGACACTGAAGATTTCTCTTGCTTTGTCTGGACTTCGAGTCCATCCTTGATTCTAGATTTGCTTTATCATGGATAATGATGCTGGTGTTACATTTGGGGATTGGCAGCCTAGTGGTTGGGGCATAGATCTTGGAATCCTGAGGTTCTGAGTTTGATTCCCACTCCCACAGACTGTCATTCTGGGTCCCTGAACTTAACCCCACATTGCTTCCCAGGCACCGCACAATGGCAGCTCGCTGCTCCCCAAGGAGATGGGTTAAATGCAGAAAGTTCATCTTGTTGCTCTGTACTTGTGACAGTGCATTTACAATAGAAGCTGGAAAAAAAAAAACTTCTGTATAAAATTGGGATCTAACCTCATTGGTTTCTGGCTCGTTGGTTCCTATCATCCGAGGAAAACCGTTAATAATAATAGTAACTAGACACACCTTTGAGGAAAGTGACTTTCTAGTTGTTTCTTAAAAATGACTATGCCTAGTTTGTAGTGGAATTCTACTATTTTACTCTCAAGTCAACTATCAGTGTCAAACAGGATGATTTATTGACTATATTAAAGTAAAGGTAGGCCCGCCATATATCTGATTAGTGTGGCTAAAAGTGGTCAGATATTCAGCGAAAGTTATGCCATAGAGTTATTGATAGGTACAGAAGTCAGGTGCTCTTTCTGCAACTGGCACAAAGGATTAAATATTAGAGATGATGCATGAATGTATTTATAGGGGACACAAGTATTTGCATTCAGAGGGTTGGGTTAATATTTGAACATTAAACCATAAGTTCTGTTTGGCTTTTAACATTGGTTCTGGCTGCTGCTGGTGAAATTATGTTTTCTTTTTACAATTTTCACTTTGTTAGCAGTATTTTATTGTTTTAGCCCCACAGCCTGGGTGATTATTCTTGCTGCCCCTCAATCCCAATATTACTTCAGTGTATGATCTTCTAATAGCCACTCCCAGCATCTCAGTTTTTGTTACATGATGGAAGTCATGTTTAAAAGCTAAATAGGTTTTATTGTTATCTTCAATTTATCTCTTCTTTCTTTCATCTTTTCTCCCTTTTCCTGTTTTTTTTCCTTCCTGTTCTACTTACATTGCAGTGTCCATATCTGTAATACTTCCAGCATAATTATAATAAAGCTATTTACATGTATAAATCACTGCTCCACTTGTTAAAGCAAAATCTGTTGGGCCCTTTTTTTTGGCATCAATTCAATATTATCTTATTGCAACATTGCCAGACAGGGCACTGTAAAAAAAAATAAATAAATAAACTTTAGCCAATCATTGGCCACCCTTGTGGCCACCCCTACCATTTTTTCCCTCTCATACAGATGATGGCAAGAATAATACTCTCAAGTGGAATATTCAAAACATTTTATTTTTTGTGGTTAATTATGCACATCAATATACTAACATCAAAGATAAGTACAGAATTCATGCTCTTTTTAGAACTAGATTTTGTGTTTTATGGGGTAAAGAGAAAATTGTGTCTCTCCAAGCCATCTACGAGTCTTCAGGGAAATCAAAGATAAATAATTTTAATATAAAAACTTATCAAATAATCCATTTATGTAGATATTAGTGCTTGTAAATATCAATATTATGCAGAATGTTTATTGATACAATATAAGTAGGTAAGTAATGACAATGATGATTGATTTATGCCCTAGAACTCAAAACTGAGTTTAATCCACTATACCTTTTATCTAGAAGTTACAGATGTTTAAATATATGCGTCTATTTGTTAGCTGTAGGAAAGTATAGTTAGTCTTTATTTAGGAATATGGAAGTGTTGCTCGTTAATTTTCTTGTTGGAACATTGTAGATTGACGGAGAGGTTTTGGCACCCATCTACTTTCGGCCACCCCTCAGTGTACATTGGTTATTGGCTGGCCACCATTATAAAACATTTCTGGCTACGCCTCTGCTTTATAAGAACCCCATGTGCTCTGTGTATCTAGGTGGTACTTTATTGTATGTCTCGTACCATGTCCGTTGGTTGTGCTGTTCTTTTTACATTTCTTTGCAGGTGATGAAGCAGACTGAAAATGTTTTATCATTATCTCCCTTTTATCTCCTCTTTATTCCTTTCCTGTTCTACTTACATTACAGTGTCCATATAACCTGTAATACTCCCTGGATAATTATAATAAAGCAATTTATATGCATAAAACAAGTGGAACACTACGGCGATAGCCGTACTGCTCCGCTTGTGAAAGTAAAATCTGTTGGGCTCTTTTTGGCATCAAGACAATTATTCTTATTGCCACATCAACAGACAAGACACTGTAAAAAAATACAATAAAATAATAATCATAATGATAATAACCCCATGTGCATTGTCCAAATTTTAAACTTGTGGAGCCAATTCCTTGTTTTAAAATCATTTAAACTATTCTGTGGTTTTGCCATTTGATCTAGAATTATACAATTAAAAATAAAAGCTTAAAATAAATAAATTTGGAGTTTCTGAGCGTGTGTTTAAGCTTCTCCTCAAAAATATTTATAAAATCGGTGGAGGGGAGATAACTTTCTTTGGGGGTTTTATTTTGAAAATATTCGGATACACATGGATGTTATGCAGAGAGCTTGACGGCTGTGAGGCAAGACTCTGCGGGAGGGAGGGGTGGGGGGCTCATCAACTAGTTGGAAAAGGGGTTGAACCGAGGACGTGTGTGGCTTTTGAGGGCAAAAAAAAAAAGTGGCATCCGCGTGAGGAAGGCGAGCCTCCTGCAGATCATCAGCTTCTTTGGACTTGAACCGGCAGCTCTGTGAGTCGCTCTGCTGAATCGGATTGTGATTCTTCAAGCCTGGATTCAACCATGACTGCAAACCTTTGGATTTACCAGGTTTTGCTCTGCGGTCTGGTCATTTTTCTGGATACAGGTAAGAACTGTAAAGTTTATTACTATTCGATATTATATATATATATATATATATTTTTTTTTTTTTTTTTTTTTTTTAGTTAGAAATAACTTTAGGCTGCGTAAAGGAATTTTAAATTTCACGTTTGAGGTAAATATATCTGAAGATCTTATATTAGACAAAAGTTTGAATATTTAGAAGTGGCTCTATATTTCTAATTAAAATAAAGTAAAAATTTCAAGAATGAAAACTTTGCACTATTGTAATTTGATTAGAGCAACTCAATTATTATTGTTTCCATCAACTTTCTGAGTCCTTTTTGCAGTTTATAAAAAAAAATATAAAGAGATTAATAATCCTTCACTGTGTGGTCCTAATTATAATAGTTGTTTTATACATAACTTTTCTGTATATGTGTATTTCTTTCCTCTTTATTTTCTTTTTTTGTACCTGAATATGACTTTTATTTATTACCTGAACATCTTTTCCCTCTCAGAAAATTTTTTTCCTAAGGAACATAGCTCTTCTTTTAAGTATTTGTCCTTTTATTAGTATTTAGTTCTTAAGTTTATTTTATATCTTCTGTCTGCTTGTTTTTGTCCCTTGTCACACCCAAATTTCTCAACAGTGAGGGGTAGAAAAGCCATTTCTTATCTTATTTCTTACTGCTGGACCAGCACAGAACCAAAGACCACATTGCTTCAAAGATGCTTCAGAGTCCTGTAATTTAGCATTGCATCCGCCTCCATAGAAATATATCTAAATGCGGCTCAAATAAATAGTGAGTTATCTGATGGCTTTACATGTTGACCCTGCTCACATCTGTCCAGCTTAAAAGGTCAACGAGTAAAGCACTGGATCTGTAGTTGCCACCTTTAGTGGTGTTGACCCTGACCTCTCACTGCACCAGAGGTGGGAACAGTAAAAATGTGCACCCACAACTGTGGTGTTTGTGCACCTAGAAAGAGTAGAAAAGAAGAGAACAAGAAGGGAATTAAAAAGCTGTTGTGTGTGTGGGTGTTGGTGTGTGTGTGTGTGTGTGTGTGTGGTGGACTGGGGCGGAGGGAGCTTAACATCTGGCTGCTCAATACTCCAGCACATTTGCACCCTCCAAAACAGATGTATTTTCAGCTTAATTCCCAAACATAGACTAACCTGTTTCTTTCCCGTCTTTTATGCACTGCAAAATGCATGAGAAGTGATGGATTTTTTAAGACCCTAAGAAATATTGTGACCAGGGATGCAACTAACGATTATTTTGCAAATCAATCTGTTGAATATTTTCCGTTAATCGATTAATAATCAGACAGCCCAAGGGTTCCTTAAAGAAGGTTCTGGATAGAGCGAACAAACGAAAAAGATTTTCATCTTAAATGTAAAATGATAACTTTTTTTTTTTTTTTACAATTTCTATAATTGCTGCTCAAGGTGGGTTGCTCTGTCAGCTAAAGACACAGTTTAGAATCTCCACATTTCAGTTAACAATAAACTGAATACTAAATTAGTTGACGATTATTTCAAAAATCAATCACAATTAATCCAATTCATTGTTTAGCTTTAGTTGTGACGCAAATGAACATTTCAAATGTAATGAAATGGATGAACACTGCCCAAGGTGAAACATGGTATAGTCAGAATCATGCTCTGGGGGTCCTTTTCTTTACATGAAAAGGGGAAGCTGGTCATATACAATAAGAAAACCTGCTAGATGCTCTGGATGTAGGAAGAAGATCATTTTCCTGCTTGATATAAAGAATCAGACCTGCATGGAATGATGTAGGGCACATATCTTAGAATGCCTCAAAGTCCTGCTTATGTCTAAGTAGAAGGTTGATGAGCACAAAATCTCCACTAAAGCTTAAACTTGCATTTTGCCAAAAGCTATGAAGGGAAAACAGGCTTTGAGTGGAAGAATGCACTCTGGTCAGAAGAGACCAGAATTGGTATTGTGAGGAAAGAAAATGAGTAGAGCACATCCCACTCAAAACACCATTCACCCTGAAAAATGTGGTGGCAGCATTATGGTGTGGGATTGCTTTTCTTTGGCTGGTTAGAGATTGCTTAGCTGCACAGAGGGCAGCTCTGGACCGCATCCCATTAAAGGCTGGAAAATTCTTGCCACAGGGCTGGGGCTTCACCTTTTAGCAGGAGGCATATTCATGTTTCAGTCAAACAGTGAAGTAAAAGGAGTCGTTTCTACAGAAGGTCAGAGTGTCAGTCCTTAAAAGTCCTAAACTAAAACTCATACCTGTTCCTCCATTACGTCTGCCTCTTCCCGTTAAATCTCGTCACTCTCACCCCACTGAGCACCTTTTATCCTTATCCTCATGCTTCAGCAAAATGATTTGGAGATATGTAGAGATAGCAGGGGTCTGAGTGCAAGGAGAGGAAGAGACTAAGTGAAATCTAATTGAGCGGCCCGGCCAGACATCAGGGCTGGAACAACACGGTGATGACTGCCAGATGTGGTCCAGTGGAGCCCAAACATTAATAACATGTCCTCCCCTAAAACCATTTTCAACCATGACAACCTCTAAACGGTCCACAGTTTACAGAATCCTAAGTACACACACAGCATCTTGTGTTGGGTCTTGGCACAGGGGCATGTGGCTGTAACTCGGTAGCAAAAGATTTTTCTGGGTGATTTATAACACACTTGTCTTTAACTATAAACTTAAAGTTTAAAGGTGCTGGTGAACACTAGGAAATGACAGTTGGAGGGGAGCTCAATCTGGCTAAAGGGTGGAACCCCACCCAAAAAAGCAGGTAGAGATGAATGATTTATGTCACAAAATGTTAATCTTAAAATATGAGTCTGTCCTACTTCTGAACCCCCTTGTGATCCCGTGTGCTTTGTGCCACATTTTTGCAATGATAGACTTCTCTTTTGATGTGCCTCTTCCCAAAAAAAAAAAAAAAAAAAACAGCTCTCCACACAGCTCTATAAATAAGGCAAGAATGAAATATAATGGGTCCATTTGCAATGCCGGCCTCTTAAAGGTTCATTCTCCACGCATACTGTTCTTTTCTTACATTTCCAAAAGCCGAGAGGCTATACGTTAAACATTATACATAAAAATGTTTTTTTTTTATGTTTTTTTATTTTATTGGAATTTCTGATTGATTTTAAAGTTTCTCTGGCAAGCTAAGGCCACTGAGTAAAGGTTCTGGTTGCACAATATAAAGCAGAAATAAACTTAAAGTCAGCATTGTTAAACAGCAAGACCTCTTATAAGTCTTCAACTCTTACATCATGAATATATGATTATGAAATGCTTTCTGTAGGAGCCATGATAACCCTAACTCAAAATGATAGTGTTCCAAATATGACAAAATGGAAAAAATCTGACTTAAGCCTGTAAAATATGAGATATGTTTTCATGAGGTTATCCAGGGCAGCGTATAATCCTGTTGACAGGTGTCACTCTACTCCTAGCTTTTGAAGCAAACAGGCGTTTTGAAGAAGGCTTTGATCCAAAGCACATTTTGTGTTTGTTTTTCTGATATTCTTTATAGATCCAGTTTGGTTAGGCGGGATCAGATTTGCACTGCTTGCAAACGTAATCATAATATTGATTTTAATATTCATTTCAGTGTGTGCAAGTCTGCTTTGATGTGATTTCTTTTCAACCGCATTACTGTACCTTTATATTTGTGTCAACAGTTGGTTCATAATTGTGTCCTGAGATGTGCCAAATCTTTTTTTTTTTTTTTTTTTTTATAGCCCACTGTTGGCATGCAACTGTGCAACAAAAGGCTTAACCTCAGTCAATTAGTTCACACATCAGAACAATTTATCAAAGATTGCACAATGTTCGGTGATGGAATAACCGTTAACATGGAAGAACTCTAAGTTATGCTCTTGAAAGTGATAACATTTTTGGGTGTTGATTAAGTAAACGGAGCACAAGCTGAGACTTGTTTTAAAAATACCTGCAATGCTTGATTTGAATATAAGCAAAGAAGTTTGTTTATTTTTTGTGATTTAACTAAGGCTCTGAATCTTAACTAAGTTCCTGCTGGTGCTCAATGAGAAATGTGCTGCTCTTCAAGGTTTATTCACCATGTTCCTCAGCTTTCTATAGATACTTTCTTTATATTTTTTGGAGAGTATCTTGTATGTTCAGGAAGATCTTTTACAAGGCAATTATCTTGCAATTTGTGAATTAAACCCTTAAAACCTTAAAGTGCTCTGTCAGTTCTGGGGAACTAACAAGTTTTTCCTGGTTGGTTCCAAGGAAGTGACAATGAAATCTCCTCTATGACTAACTTTAAAAAGATTTGATCAAAAGGATTTACTAAAGGAATGTCCTTTGAGCAAATTGTTGTCTTATCCACTGTCCAAATAAGATCTGGTTGGAAAGAAAAAGTTAATTAAGCCAGTATAAAGATTTTGCTTGGCATAAAGTCCAAAAAGGAAATCAAAAGAAAAGTTGGTCAACATCCATCTTCTAACACACTTGATCCCAAGTGGGGTCGCGAGGGGTGCTGGTGCCTATCTGCAGCTGTTAATGGGCGAGAGGCGGGGAACACCCTGGACAGGTCGCCAGTCCATCGCAGGGCAACATAAGGACAAACAACTACTCACGCTCACACTCACAACTAAGGAGGATTTAGAGAAGCCAATTAATCTAACAGTCATGTTTTTAGTCTGTGTGAGGAAGCCGGAGTACCCGGAGAGAACCCACGTCTGCTCAGGGGGAACATGCAAACTCCATGCAGAAAGACCCTGGGCCGGGAATCAAACCCAGAAGCTTCTTGCTTCAAGGCAGCAGTACTTGTAGCAGCATTGTACTTTTGCAGAAAGCCTCAAAGGGCTAACGTAAATAAAATATTGGGCTGCAAATATTTTTTTCAATTAATCCATTAATAATCGGTTCCTTTAAGTAGATTTTTTAGAAATTACACCAGCTGAACCTAAAACTTTTCCACTTGAGGAGTTCTGGATAGAGCATACTGAGAGAATAAAACTTTTTTTTTCTCTTAAATTTAAAATATTTATATATTTTCTAACAATTCTGATATAATTGCTGCTCTAAGTGGGTTGCTCTGTCAGCTAAAGGCATGTTTTACAGTCTCTATTCTCCAGTTAACGGTTAACCGATTATTAAATTAGTAATTTGATTATTTCAGTAATCAGTTAATCACGATTGATCCAATTAATTGTTTTAGCCCTAATGAAATATAATATAAAATGGGGATCTTAAAAGGCAGCGTTCACATAAAGGGTATTGAAAATCAGATTCAATCTGAAATCTAGAGATGAAATCAGATTTCCACTTATGTTGGTCCTAATACTGTTTGGGAAAGTTAGTTCTTATGAAATTTTACAGATTATGACCAAATATGTTCAAACCAAAATAAACAAGCGATATCCTGTCAATGGATGTAATAATCATATAGCCCCCTGGTACTAACTGGCAAATTGTCTGTACAGAGGGGGTCCTGTGGTTGAAATCTGCAAAGGTACCAACAGATGAAGCAGAAAAGAGATGGGCATCATACCTAAATCTTGGAGAATCAACATGTTGCATTAGATGCATCTTATAGAAAGGATTAAAAACCCTTGTTTTGATTTTTACAGCTTGACTAAAAAATATCAGTCGTGTTGTAGTTACAAATTTGCCAATGTTAGATTATTTCAGTACATTTGGATAAGTTTATCCCAACTAGTTACAATTGAAATATGTTGATGGTGCAATTGTAAACCTGAGGGACAATGCAGATTCCTGTTAATGAGTTATTAGGTGTATTTTCACAGAGGATTTGGAGGATTAAGGACTTATAGGAACTGAGTATCTCTGGGTCTGTGTTTTAGGGTGCTGTCGAAACCCTCGCCGCCAGTCTTTACAGAAGTATGAAAAGAGCGAAGGCCACATGCTGGTTTGCTCTGACTGTTCTCAGACTGCAGTGATACAAAAGAGCCGCTCACAGGAACACTGTGCAAGAAAGTGCAGGAAGAAAAACTTCAACTGCAGGTGAGTCAGTTTCTCTGAATTCTCCCTGTTCCCCCTCACTCCCCAGTGTGTCTAATAGTATTTACATATTTTTGTTGTTTATCATTTGGTCATCTTTCAACCGCTTCCCGCTTGTCTCCACAGAGCCTTCAACTTTCAAAGGCACAACAGGAAATGCCACTTGCTTCCTTTTGACCGTTTCACCCACGGTGTGCAGAAGCAGGCCAACATCAACTTCACTCTGTACGAAAAAAAAGGTAGCTGTCACCCTTCTCGCAGTGTTGTCACTGCTTTTCTCATGAGAACAGCAAGGAGTGGCGGGTATGCACAGACTGTTTGTGGTGGTAACACATTTCTGTTGCCTCGTCAAGTCTTTTAGGTGTTTGCTTTCCCTGTTGACATATTAGAAGCCGTGAATCTCCTCACATACAGCAGTTTAATCCTTCTGCTTTGGAGAGCCAATGCTTGAACATTTAGCAGGCTTAAGTGGAGCATAAACATAAAAATAAAAAAAAAATCCTTGTTTACAGCCAACACGGCAGAGCTTTGCCTGAAGTGCAAGCTGTGGAATCTAGTGGAAGTTTGGACAAAGTCAAACTTCCACTTTAGAATTTATTGCAGAATTTACGAAAGCTTCCCTTCGGTCGTGTGTGTTCTGGGAATAACATAAAAGCTCGATGATAACTAATTTTAGAAAAAGTCCTTTCCACCATACTTGGTCAACTATGTCTCGATGCTATTATGCCATTTTGACTTTGAGGTGCCTGTCTAAAATTATACAATGTCTCCTATACCTTTATTCTTTCAGAATACATCAGAGAGTGTATCAGTGGCACAAAGGATAACTACAGAGGGAGGAGGTTTTGGACAAAGTCAAACATCACCTGCCAAGCTTGGTCTGATAATAACATCAATGAGCACACGTAAGACCACTTTTTATTCTTTAGGAAGTAAGCACTGCTTTGTTTTCAACCTTTCCCTTTCATGTCACTCTTAGATATTTTAAACCATAAAGAAATTCTGTTTTTTGTTGTTTTTTTTTAAGTGAAAGAGTCTAAAGGATCAATTCCTACATGAAAATAATATAACCTCCTGAACATAAGGGCTCATTCCACCCCATTAGGGATTAAGGAATAACAGCAGTGAATCTCATACATGATTTCATGTCAATTTTGCCTCATTCCTTTTTGCAGAATTGTTTTTATTTACCGACGCTAGAGGGTTTTCAGGAAATAATAACATTCTCCTTCAGGGTGTTCTGGCAGGGAGCAGAATCAGTGCCGAATAGCTTTCTTTCCTGTAACAGAGCACTCCAACTATCCATTTTCTGACACGCTTCATCCCAGATGGGGTCTCCAGCTGTCAAAGGACGAGAGGCGGGGTACACGCTGGACAGGTCACCAGTCCATCGCAGGGCAACACAGAGACAAACAGGACAAACAACCATTCACACACACACTCGCACCTAAGGAGAATTTAGAGAAGCCAATTAACCTAACAGTCATGTTTCTGGACTGTGAGAGGAAGCCGGAGTACCCAGAGAGAACCCAGGCATGCTCAGGGAGGATATCAAACTATATGCAGAAAGACCCGGGGCTGGGAATTGAACCCACAATCTTCAGTGCTACCCACCCTTAATAGAGCACTATTATTTGAAAATTTTCTTTTTACAGTTATTCGTTTGGAAATTGTATATGACAAAAACTTAAGAAATAAAAATGATTTTAGGTAATAATTGTGTCTGTAATTATATTAAGTGACTTACCAATTGTTTTATACAAATGTTTAATTTGATGAATGAATAAAGGTCCGGTGCCTTGCTCATAAATTACATCCAATCCAGATTTAAAGCGCACATCTTTTTTTAGGCTTCCAGCTTATTCCAGGTTGTGTCTTGTGTTTTCTCTGTGCCTGATACTGAGCAGACCTCAACCTCTGATTTATTGTTGCTCGGTTCATCCCCTTCCACCTCGGGGGTTAGGGGAAGGTGGAGGCTCAGAGATGGTTGAACGTTTATCCAGAGTTAAGTCAGATTTCTTTCAACACATGCAGGGATGTCCCCCCTGTTGACTTTCTTTTTTTTTTTCCTCTTTGCTTCACCAGAGGCCATCAGGTGTGTCCCAGAGATGTTTTCTCTTAGCTACAGTAAAGCAAGATCAGTGACTCTACTCTGCTGAGATGGATCTTTGCCAGCTTCTCATTAGCGGTGCTCATTAGTTACAAGATATTTTAACTGTGGCAGAGAAGGGATTTGGGAGAGGGGGTAATAACAGTTTGAAGAGGTGCAGAGTGAATAATAGAAGCGAGGCAGAATAAAATAAAGAAGGCGCAAAGATTTATAGACTGAAGTCATTTTTTTGTCTGATGTCCAACGAAGTTCACTGAGTTACAAGCATACTGAGACAAAATACAGGTTTGCTTACAATTAAAACAGATTGCAGTGGGGTTCCTCTTCTCTCCCATGCTCCAATCCTGTCATCACTTTCCAAAAGCAGTGGTTAACATAAGGAAACCTTTGTCATCTTTTATTTGACACATGGTCTCGGCGCTCTACTCAAATAGAAATGGACTTCTAATGTCAGAATTTCAAAGGGTGAGTGAGAGATTAACTGTAGGGAGATTTAGTCCCACTGTGGGGTTACCTAACATTGGACGGTCCCGCTGTGCGAGAATTACCACCCTAGTGAACAATGCACCGTTTGAGGCTCAGGTGACTATTATTTTCATGCATGGCTGATGTTGTTGGTGGGAAGGGGGGGTATTTTCTCAGGAGGTTCCCTTCCAGAAGTGGGACTTCCACCTGTTGTCAGTGTTTGCGGTTTTTACCAAAGCAGTGCTGGCAAGTCAAGCTTAGAGAATTTGCACCTCCTCCTGATGTTACATAAGAGCTTAAAGATCCGTTAATCTGCCAAACCTAAAAACGTATGAAATGGGTTTAATTATATTCTAGCTTTTAAAAAAATATGCTAAATTATTCTGCACTCTCTAGCAAACTTTGTATTCAACATGCATCAGTTTTGAAACAGATTTTGACTTATTTAAAGGAACCTAATTGTTTATACGCCTTACGTGTTTATTCACACAGACTTAAGGTTAAAGAGGACAATGCTTTCTAAATGTGATGAAAAATCTCCTGCTAATTAAATTTCTTCTTGGCTAATAATAGTAAAGCAAAAGGTGGTAGCAAATGTTTGACCTTCTAATATTTTCACAGGAAAGAAAGCAAAAATATTAAGAATCTTTTTAAATACTTGGAGGCTTGTTAGCAGAGTTAATGTTGGGGAAAGTCATTCACTCTAATAGAGTTTCCATGATTTAACTGAACATGTTTCAGTCAGAGCAGACTCTTCCTGTTGAGGAGACTGAGGTCTTTTGGAGTGCAGAGGGCTCTCCTAAAGACCTTCTATGACTCTGTTGTGGCATCAGCCACATTTAATGGAGCTGTCTGTTGGAGCAGTGGCTTATCTTTAGCTGAGAAAAGGCGGCTGATCAGGAAGACCAGCTCTGTGATGGGATGCCCTCTGGACTCAGTGCAGGAGGTGGGAAACAAAAGGATCCTAACTACATTAGGATAATGTTGTAATGACAGACTGCTGCACCCTAATGCACCAGGGAGCGTTATAACAGATCCTCCCTCCCAGCAGCTGTGAGACTTTATAGCCACCACTGTTCCCAACAACCTCAATAAGTTGTTACATTAATGCTGATTTAGCACAGTTTCTACCTTAGTCAGTTAAATAACATGCTGCTGTCATTTTTGCACATCTCTGATGTTGCTGCTATTTTCAAATATCCATTACTGTAAAAATGTCCATAACTGCATATTGGTTACTTATTCTCTAGGTGCACAGTTTTTATAATGTTAAAACACTTTACAGTGCAGTATTTCATTTGTTTATTTTATAACTCTTCACTATTATGTTATTCTTATGCACTTTTCTAAGGTCCGCATTCGTGTGACCATTTTTTGCTATAATCTTTTTGCAGTGAAAATACAAGAATTTCCCCAATGAAAACAAAAAGTTTTCTATTCTAATCTATTCTCTTCTAAAATAAAGTAAAAATATGAGGAACTATGGATCATTTTAATGGGCTATAGGTGTCTGTCTACACACCTGAAATTAATTTGTTAACAGCTTTGCACCCTGTTTAAGGAGGCCTAAAGGGGGATACCTAGTTTTAATATAGCAACTATATAAACTTCAATATTTTGCTATTTTATATTTTTTATAGAAATAAAGTAAAAACAATAGATTTTGCAGTTAAAAAATGCGCGTAAAAATACTCCCTTTATGCGCAGACATTTTTTATGTAAAGGGAGTATTTTTACGCACTGAAGCCTTTAGTCCACCTGAAATCACCTTGTTTGTTGTAGTTTTTTATTTGTTTTGCAGCAGATACTAGAGGCCTAGATTTCATCCTCCGTATTTTCCAAAATTAAGCCAATATGTGTCATTGGCTTACAGCGGGAAGCATGTGTGCACAGTGTCTGCCTGCACTCCGATGGGAACAGAGTTTGGCAAAATGATGAATAACTGGCCAACATCTGTTAGCAAAACATCATTACAGCTAACTTGCTCCCATGCTGCAGCCTTTTTTCTCTCTCCTTAACTTTTTTCTTAAAGTGAAGAAACCTGCAATCCGGTTTCTAAATTAACAGTACAGCTTTTGTGATAGTCATACAGTCTATTGAGTTTGTGAGTTACACACAGCAGATGTGATCTTTGGCCCTAGGCAAAGATTCATGCTGCTTTGGAACAAGTGTTTTGTTTTAGTTACATGCATAAATGAGAAGTTGCAGTTGGATCTAGCCCTGTTGCATTATGACATGCATGTCATGTGGGATTGGAAGCTCTTTGTTTGCTGTTAAACTCTTTTTTTATATTATTATTATTATGCTTTTGCCAAGTTAAATGATAAGAATTACCTTTGTACCAGGACAGAATAAACTGGGTATGAATATTTTGAGAGAGTCTTGCAGAGTCCTCACAATGGGCCCAGGGTGAAGTGTTTGGACAAGTTACTGAAGGAAAGACTTTTGCATTTGACATGTCGCTAGCTGAACGAGATTTTCAACATTTTCTTTTGGTCTATTTTTTCTTACTCATCCGTACCTTTTTTCCCTTCTTTGCTAAACTACACCTTAAGCTTCCTTCTGTCCCAACCGTCTCTATCTGGCGGTCTGCAGGAATCAGAACGTGTTGTCATTTATATGGTGGTCCAGGTCAAATATAAAAGCCATAATGAAAATGTAACACATGGCTTTTGTGTTTGTATTGCAGCTTTTAAATTTAACCCAAGACCTCTGAGCCACCTTTCATTTACCCTGGGGGCTTCTTCATCCCTCTCTTCTTTGCTACTCCATATAGCTTTGGCAGTTACGTTTTATTTCTAACACTTTCCTTGACACTAATGTGGTGCAACAGTCGACAGAGAAGGATTAGCTTTAAATGCACTTAAAGGTGGCCAGCAAAGGAGCTGCTTGCGCGGCTCCAAGTGGCCCGTAGCATAGCTCTACCATGCTGGTGGTTACCGTGCTATGACATTCGAGCTGCTGCACACTTCAAAGTCTGGAAATGGTTGAGATTGGTAACGCGATTATGCAAAAGGTGCAACAACGGGAAAGAGAAAGGTATCGATGACTTGGTTTGCATGTGATTGCTATGAGAGGTCATCGGATGATGTGAAGAAAATGCAGCCTGCTAAGACTGCCTGTGCTTGGATTTCAGAGTTATGCATATAACCTAATTAAGTTTCCCTTAGAATTTATTTGGATTGTTATGGGCTGCCCTCTCAAGCCAATGTGATACTAAAAACATGGCCAAATGTGTAAGCACTCCTGCAAATTTATTTATACGGCTTATGGTATCAGTTAACACCTTCAGTAATGTCTGTCTGTGCCCCTCTAGGTTTTATCCAGACAGGTACCCAACACAAGACCTGAGGAAAAACTTCTGCCGGAATCCCAACAACGATCCTGGTGGACCGTGGTGCTACACCACAGACCCTAATGTACGAGCTGAGGAGTGTGGCATTCCACAATGTTCTCAGGGTAAGGCAAAATATAATGTAGACAAAATGTCTCTGATTAAATTAAGATGAAATTGAGAGGTGCTTGAGTTTGATTAATGTTTGTGAACTTTAATGGCCTCTCTGTCATAAGATTTGTTTGTAATTCTTAAAAGGGAAAACAGTTTCTTGATAATTGTTGTTTTTTTGTTGGCAGAGGTTTGTATGAGCTGTAATGGAGAGGATTATCGGGGTAAAGTGGACCAAACAGAAAGTGGCAAAGAGTGCCAGAGATGGGACTCTAAATGGCCTCATGTACACCCGTTCCAACCCAAGAAGTAAGCTGAAAACCATAACGTTGATCTTTCTCACAGACACCAGCACACACCCATGACAGATGCTTGAATAAATGACGCTAATGCTCAGGAGAGGTAGACCTCACCAGTTGTTATGACTTACTTCCCACCCCACTTCCTTTTTCCCCCGTTTTCACTCTGTCCCTGCAGGTATCGAGATAAAGACTTGAGAGACAACTATTGCCGTAACCCTGATAATCGTCTGCGGCCCTGGTGCTACACCATGGATCCCAAAACTCCATGGGAGTACTGCAACATCACAGTGTGTGGTAAGGATGTTTTTATATCTGCAGCAGTAAGCTTGCTGACTGAAGTCTTCAAAGAAACCAAGGGACGCTTGAACGATTGTCTTTAATCTGATTTATGACTCTGTTGGTGATTGTTTTTTTTTTTTTTTTTTTTTAGCATCTTTCATGCTTCTAACCTTCAAACAGTATGTGTCACACAACTGGGATTTTGTCAAAGGACTTGAAAGGAGACTTAGCCACCAGGGTATTAGGGTTTTTTTGTTTGGTTTTGTATCACCATCAGGTTTTATCATTGAAGCTGTTACTTACAAGACTTTAGTGGCTTTGGTGGTTCTCTGAGAATATAGTTTCCCTCTGAAACCCTACAAGTTGTTTAATGTGGTGTTCGGCTTTACATCCCTCCACCTCAAAGGGGGACAACAAATAAGTTGTTTGTAACTGAGATGATCTAAGCCTGGAAACTAGAGGATGCTGATAAAGGCCAATGTATCAACATGCTTTATATACAGACTCTTAAGCTGGAAATACCCCTTAAATATTTTCAAAAATTGTCACATTACAAATCCGACTTGAATGTATTTTGTTTGGATTTTCTCTGATAGACAAACATAATTCCTTTTTTAAAACTAAAATTCATAAAGTAAAAGTTTGCGTATGTATTTGGATAGAATCCAGTGAAACCAACTGCCTACTGAATTCCTCTCATTAAAGAACGCTTCAGAAGTTTAGAGAATTAACTGAAAACGTTTAAAACTGTTAGGGTTAAAAGATGTGTAACTACAACAGGAAAGAAAAAAAACTATTGTTAAAAGAAGGTCATAGATGATCCTTTTTTTTTAAGCTTTTCCGAACATTTTCCATATGGAAGAAGGTGCTTGGTCAGGAGAAACCATTATTAAACTTTCTGACTGTGAGGGACCAAAAGGACAAAAGGTGTTAAAAAATTGAAAAAAAAAACTTTCATTTAATAGTGTCAAAAAAGGTTAAAAGCAATACAAAATAGTTTAAATAATAAAAAAATAAGTCCATACAAAACTAAAACATAAAAAAAACAACTCTTTATTTTAGCACAAAGAATTGAATATTAAGGTGACAAAATAACCAAAGTAAACTTAAACAAAATTCCCCCCTCATTCTTGGGAAAGTGGTTTGTTCCTGGCTGCTTCCACCTCCAACTGATCTGCATTTGCAGAACCTCAAAGTGTGCACCCATAATAAAATATACATCTAAATTAAATGCCAAACTAAATGTGGATCTAACTGCATACTATGAAACTATACAAATACTTTGTAGTGTAGGTAGAAGGATCCACCACACTTACCAACAAGCAGAATGCTATTTGTAGCAAATAAATGAACACAATATAGCTATAGTGAAACATGGCAGCAGCAGCAGCATGCTGTGGAGATATCTTTAGTCAGCAAGAACAGGGAAGTTGGTTAGAGGCAGATAGATGAAGCAAGAATTTAAGATTTATCCAGAAGATACATCCAGAAAGATTTACAGCTGAGTCCAAAACATGGTTCCACAATTATTGATTCGGGCGGCCTGAACCATGTCCTACTTCTCTTTCACTTCATAGTTTTGCATAACTTGGTTTTGCTTTGTCTCCTAAAATTCCCTAAAACATATTGAGGTTTGTGGTTTTAACGTGACGAAAAGTAAAAAGGTTCAACAGATATGAAGACGTTTCCGAGGCGCTGTAGACTGAAGGGGACAGTAGCCATTACGCTGGCATGAACGTTGGGTCTGAATCACAGCATATCGAGACAATTTAATGTGAAAGGAGCAAAGCGATTGCAGATGCTTCCTCCCGGGGCTCAGGGGGTCAGTGAATGGTGTGATGAACATGAAAATGATGTGAATCATATGCTACAGCCCTCACAGACACTAGACTTCAACCTAACTTAACGGCAATGGAAGACTTTGGACTTCTGACATCTCAGGCAGGGCTCTGTCTTCCATAATCGCAGCACAAATTGAGACTGGATCTGTTGGGAAATGGTGTTTCATCAGAAAGTAAATGGACACAAGCCCTACAGACCCTCAGCTGTTACCCACCTGCCATACGTTATTAAAGTAGAGCTGAATAATACAACTTCACTTGACTCAGATTACTTTGATTCCTTCCTTTGATAGTTTTTGTTCTTGAGGTGCAATAGAGCCACAGAAAACTCTATTAAAAAGGGAGAAGAAAAAAAAGTTTTTTGGAACTTTTTTTTTTGTTAAAATCCTCTAACATATCTTGCCGTGCCATCCTCAAACAAACAAAACATCTCTCCTACTCTGTCCGTCAAAAACCAACACACGTGTACTTTACAGTACGGCTTATGATTTACAGCGAGGGCGGAGGTTCTCCATTTGTCCAGATGTGTGCATCCCTCAATGCCTGCCCTCAGAAAGATAAAAACCACTGACCTGTACTGTGCAGAGCACACAGACACTGGCATGCCTTACATCAATGCAAGGAATCCCTCTCTTCCAACCGCCTTTTCATTTCTGCCTCAAAACATTCCCGTTCCTCCTCCATCTTCCCTCATCTCATCTGTCAAAGGCTAAAGAAACAAAGGCAGGGAGAAGGTGCTGCCTGTGTACTGCTTCCCCTGTGCTGCTTAAAGTTAAATTCCATCCCAAAATGTTTAAAATAGTTTGCTGATGGTTGAAGTGGCCCTAAGTTGACTGGTAACAGTTCAGAAATATTTGTCCTCTTTAAATATTTTGGAATTACAGAAACACACTTAAAGGTCTTTTTGGTAATGTTTAGGACTTAAGTCCAGATAAAGCAGAAGACATTGAGGAGAAAGTTCTGCATGTTTTGTAACATGAATTTCTATTTAGCCTGTCAATATTGAGAAAATAGGATAAGATAAACTTTGTTGATCTTTCAGTGGAGAAATTCACTTTTCACATCGGCTCAATAGTCAAAAGAATGTGCCAAAAGGAGGAAAAGGTGCATGGGGTATGTAGAGTATATACAGTGTTACAGTATTAAAGTGTAGAGCAATGCTGCACCATTGCACTGATTCCACCATCTTTGCACATCGTGAAACTAAAGGGTTCATCCATTTTTCTTCGCTAAATTATTCAAACTTGTATTGAAGGCACAGCATTTGTGAACACAAATGTTCAAGTCTTTGCAGAGACTCACGATGACATGATTTACTGCTGAATAATTTACGGCATATTGATATATTTGAAAAGCCCTGCAGATGGAACAACTTTTACCCCAGAAATTTTAACCTGGAACATATGTTATGGTATAATTAAATGTTGTTATGATCAGATTACAGAGACATCAGCAGTGCTTTTTTAAGAAAGCTGAGTAATTAATTCTTGTGAAAAACCCTGTGGGCAAGAATCTGAGCCACCACTGTTATGGATAGGGTGAAAGTTTTCTGTGCCAATAGCAGTGTAGAGGGAGTGCTACTGGTTTTGATCATTTGTCTCTAGGTTAAACACAACACATTCTTTTGAGGATTAAAACCATTCTCATTCACTTCCTCCTTCATTCTTCTGTTAGATTTCAGTGACTTTTTTTTCTTTGGTGGCTTTACTCACGGTCACAGTTTTGTCCTCTCACAGACTTAGACCCCAACGAGGACACGGATGTCAACACAACGGTGTCCTGCATCCAGGGGGATGGCACAAATTACAGAGGAACGATGAATATCACCCCAGAGGGTGTGACATGTCAGCGTTGGGACTCCCAGTTCCCTCATAATCACTCTTTTCTTCCTGTAAACTTCAAATGCAAGTGAGTGACAGCAAAAAAAAATTAGTGGTGATGGAATCAGAAAAACTTAGCTGTAAGCGGTGCATTTGTCAGCCTTATCATTTAAATCGCAGCCGATGTGTTTGTTACAGAGACCTGAGAGAAAACTACTGCCGCAACCCTGATGGGGCAGATTACCCATGGTGCTTCACCACAGACCCCAATCAGAGGATTGCCAAGTGCACTCATGTCCCCAGGTGTGATGCAGACGCTACACCAAAAATAGGTAAACTGCTTTATATTAACTAAACTTTTGTTTTCCTGCTAAGCTAATGCATTGATGCTAGCCAAAACAAGTTTTTTTTTCTCTCCACTTTCACCACAAGCATGCTTGGTGTGAGGGATTGCCTTTGATTCAACGAGTCAATGCAATGAATCAGTTTGACTGTATGATCTGGTTGATTTTTTAATTGCCTTTAGGTGACATGTGTTGTGAATTGGTGCTTTATAAATAATCTGAATTGAAATGGAATAGTCAGCTAGCACATGCAAAGCTCTAAAATGAGAAAACAATGGAAACAGTTGTGCAAAACTGACTGTTTTACATCTGACAGCATGTCCTTCCATTTTCTGACATGTGTATCAGATTCCAAAACTCCATGAAGCAACTGTTAGACACCTGTGCTTCCAGGTGTCACCTGAACAAGCCTTGTAGTTTAATCTGTTCAGTAGGTGACTAATATTTCCAGATAACTGTATGTTTAAAAGGGTTTTGGAAAGACGTTAGGGCAAGAAGTGTGAAGTTTGCTTACACAGAGATCTTTTCCCTCTGTGGGGTTTAGCTTAACTGCTTGCAGCAATGATCTATTAAAATAAGAAACATTTTGTTTTTTTATGTCACATATGTGACTTTTGTTTATGAACATCAGAGGCAACAAATGTGTCCAATAATTGAAAAGAAAACACCACAATCTTTTTAATGGAACATAATTCAAAAACTAAACTGCAGATGCTTTAAGACACATGTCATGTTTTTGCTAAATTACCCAGACATTTTCTATATCACTCTCACAGGACCAAGTCACTTGGCAGCGAGCTGCCCAATGAATTCCTTTTCATAGGAGAACAAAAACACCAGACTTTGGCAAAAGCGCTCACTGTCGTTTCCCATGTTCTCCTGCTCTGCGTTTCAGAGGACCACACATGGCATTTACTACAGACCCTCTGTTTCAGAACAGACATAGTATAAATGAAGTCTAAATCATCTGCTCTATTTGAGAAGCACTGGTTACACAGGCTGTCATCGACACGGAGCAGGTCCAAACCACAAAGGGGAATGTGTTTTTGTTTCCCTCTGCAAATGCATTCATTTGTGTTTTCGCTTTGCAGGCATTCAGGTGTTTTCAACACGGCAAGGCTTGGTTATGTTTGGCAGTCTGGTGAATTTTTATGGAGATTATTCAAAGCAAATGAACCTTGTTGTCCTCCCCAGAATGTTATGAAGACAATGGAGAGATGTACCGGGGAACCTTATCAACAACTCGATCTGGAATTCCCTGTGCGGATTGGTCACCTCATCTAAACAGGTAAACAGGTTTTCATGTAATTGAGACCATTTGACAGTTGAGTTCCTGTCACTTTGTTACTGATGAATCTAAGTAGCACAAACAAACCGTGAAAGGAAATCAGTGGTTCCTCAGGGTTTGGTACCAGGTCTTATTAATATTCATCTGACTGATGAGAGGAAACCTTAGGCTGCTCCCTGTGACCCACCATGACTAAGAAGTTGCCCGTTTTAGGGCCTTTTACTTTCTGCTGAAGCCAGGCTGTTGAATTTACTTAATTTACAAGAATTTTAAAAGCCACAATGGCACAGACAGATGGACATGTTCCAGAACCGACCCCTGACCCCAGGAAGTGCTTTCTGAGGAGAACAGATCAAAGCCAATCAGCTCCCTCGCATAGGCTGCAGCCAGCAAGTCTACCCCGCTCAAGGTTAAGGGTCATCCCAGGGAAAACTGCTGTGAGCTACAGCTTGTTTAACATTCTCCTGGGAAGTGGAATTATCTTCACCCCCTGACAAATTGTTGCCCTTCGCTTGGCATTATTTTTGTGCTGGAGTGTCTAAACCCCTACTTGGTAATTACTTTTCAAAGATATTTTGGATATTTGAGAAGATTGCATTTAATTCTTGTACAGCCAAGTGGCAAAAAGACACGTTTAGAAGTGAATTCCTACCGAGAGCACAACCAAATCGTTCCGTAGAGGATGTGGCTCCTGTTGGTCTGAGCCCTGTTGAATGCTTAAGGCTGCATACTTTCATACTCTCCTGAGCACCCTTCAGAAAATAGTTTCCTTCTATGTGCTTCGTGCTGTTAAGTCAGAGGATTCATTGCACAAAATTTTGAGGCATTGTGGGATTGCTTATAGCGTGAATCTACTGTATGTGCGTGCACCTCGACTCTATGTGCAGTATTCACATACTTGGTTATTTTTAGAGCGACGGGGTGTGTATTACACTGTGGACAGAATAACAAATGCAATATGAGAACCTGTATTTGTGTGTCTTACAGTGGGGATTCTCACTCTACAATATCCCACGTAGGGCTGGAGAAGAACTACTGCCGGAATCCAGACCGAGACAAACATGGCCCCTGGTGTTACACGAGTCCAAATAACCGCCTGGTCTGGGACTACTGCAAGCTGAAGCAATGTGAGTGAATCAAGTATTTCAGCATATGAAGCTACTTTTCAGAAATAAGAGAGCCTACATGATTCTGTTCTCACAAACTAGAAGAGGCTCCAACTGATGCACCTGTTTACAGGTGTTCAGATGACATGCAACAAGCTAAATCAGATGTAAAGCCCAGAAGGTTAAATGACAATCCCTGATATATACTATAACTATAGCTTTTCTTCTCTGTATTATGCATTTGTGCTGAGGTTAGTTCATCTGCACTGAAACAAAGAAACAAACTTATTTTTTTAATAATAATATGCAATATTTACAGATGTTGTGCTATAAAATGTGTTGCTACAGAGTTAGCTGAGCTAACTTTATATCCCCACACTATGCAGTGTTTAACCTACGCTAAAACAAACATTACATGTTTTAATGAAACCTAGGTGGAAGTTCAACTGAAGAAACTAAATTACTTACCCTAATCCATCAGAGGCTCATTCGGTCATTGACCCAGCCAATCTGCTTTGAACCGCACTTCCACAAAGCCCAATCAGCATCCACAGTTCTTAAAAGGTCTTCAAATCCACGACTCAGCCTGCTACCATGCCAAAGCGCACTGCAGTGTTTGCACTATGTCTGATTTTGACTCAATTAAACCCACCTCCATCCCCTTCTCCACCACAATAGCTAAGCTCCACCTGGCTTTTGCATGGTGCCTCTTCAAACTCGTCCCTATCAGAGTGTAATTCCTCCCAGAGTCTTACTGCATTCAGTGCCACATGTCAATTGTCCGGCAGGAGGTCACCTTGTTGAGCCCGGTTCTGCCAAAGGTTTCTTCCCAAAGGGGAGTTTTTCCTCCCCACTGTCTCTTCACGCTTGCTCATCATGGACAGGTTCATGCAAACCTCTGTTTATCAAAGCTGGATATCTATCTTCCAGGTCCCAAGTGAAGCACTACTATCACAGTCTACTAGATCTAGCCAATTCAGCTCAAGCACACAGCTGACTATTATGGACTGAACCAACTTCATCTATCTCCACCTATCTATCTTCGCCTGGGGGGGGAACATCCCTGTTCTCATACACCTGCTTATGCATACTGATGTAAAATTCAGTTTCCTGCTGAGGTCTGAGCACCAAAGACTTAAAATAATTGTATCAATAATATTCTTCTAATTGTCTTTTTCTTTCCGTGTGAGTTTTTCAGATTAAAATAGTCTTTTAGAAACGGTTCAAATTAACATGATACACATTTATTTAGATACATAAACTGCATCCATCTAAAAAACCTGTTTCTTTTTCTCCCTGTTTCTGTGCTGAGCTGAGCTAACCAGCTGCACTGTGTCAGTCAGCTATCAGAAAGTAACTGGCCTTGAAGGATGAGGAATTATCAAACATAACAGTTGTTTTACAGCCAGTGTGTGAGTCTAAATCAGCTTTTCAGGCTGTTTTAATGACACTGACTGATTGTGCTTGTGTTTAGGTGTGGCAGGATAAATACAATAATTTAGCTTAAAAAACATTTGGAACCACAACAAAGAACAATAATAGTTTCTTCTACATCTCCTCGGGTGTCTTCTGCGATCCTTAAGCTGTGGTTTGCTTTGGCAGATAATCCACACTGCCCAAACAGCTAACAGATGGGGACCCTACTGCCAGTCTTTCATAAAAAAAAAAAAAAAAACACTGGTTCCTGGACCCAACTTTTTCCGTGGCTGGTTTCAATCTTGTTGCGATGAAGAGCCTCTTATGAATGGCTGCATAATGACTCCCATAATGTAAAACATGTCCTCAGTGAGGTTTTTTAGGTCTTGAACAAATTTATCTGCAGTGTTTTCTGTCAAAGCCTCAAACAATGTCTCAGACGTGGCGATAAGTCTCTATAAACTCTTGCCGTTTTCTCATGCTGCTTCCTGCTGCTATGAGGTCTGTTCTCACTGTTGTGCTTTTCTTATATTAGGTGAATCAGCAACAGTGGCTCCTCAACTAAACAGTGAGTTTCCATTTTGCTCATCTGCTTTCACTAGTCTGGTCCTCCTCCTTGTCATCCTATCTTCAATCTCCTCCCTTCTCCTTTTAATTCTTTACATCAGATCCTTCTGTATTCATTTACCTGGCTAAACAAATCATATTTTATGGTAGACCTTTTGAAGCCAAACTAAACATGATCAAAATATCTCCTTTTATAGATCTAACTAGGCCCAGGATATCATGCTTTGTGCATATAAACACCAGAATAGTTGGAGGACATGAAGTACAGGCTACAGACGGCAGCTGGGTTGTAAGCATCCAAAGAAAGTAAGTAATTTTCCATTCTTTATAGGATTCCCAAAGTCTCCGATTTTGCAAAGCTTTGCCATTTATTAAAGTATTAATGTAAACTTTCTTAGGAAGGTTCATTTGTGTGGTGGCTCACTGATCAGAGAGGACTGGGTTTTGACCGACCAGCAGTGCTTTACATCCTGGTAATGAAGCATGTTCTGGTATTTTTTTACAATGTTTTTCTGGAGCATATTGTTTTCTCTCTGACTTGCATCTCCTTGTCAGTGTTCCAGATCTCAGGGATTACAGCGTCCAAGTGGGCCTTCTTCACCTTAACGAATCTTCGAAGCGTCCCAGATTGCAGATCTCTCGTCTGATCTGCGGCCCAGAGGGATCCAATCTGGTTATGTTGAAACTAGAGAGGTAAGTACCCAACTGGTGCTGATGTTTCCATTGATCTATGTTAAACCTAAATCTTGAATAAAAGAACGCTGATTATAAAACATGCTGTTTTAAGTGTCATGGTCTTCAGAAGTCGAATGAAAATTTATAATAATAAGAAAAACCTGTAATAAAAAAAGTGCTCCTAAAAGCCATCATTTTGATATGACAGTGTATTGGGACCAGAGATTTTTTTTTATTTTTTATACGAGAATAAAGTCATAAAATTCCGAGAATTAGCTCATCATACCACTATGACAACCAGTTTCAGAAAGAAAGCTTCGGGCATGCTCAGACCAGCATATGACGGCCAACCAGCACCGCAAAACAGCAACATGAGTCAACTTTTTTCTTACACTTAATGATAATAATTTATTGCTAGTGTGCTAAAAGATTTAAAGGTGTATCATTCCGATGATGTTTACTTAAGGCCGCTCTACGTGCTCATCCACATTTTCACTTACCGGTTGTGAGTCTGTACGAGCGATGCAAACGGCAACTTTAAACAGAGCGTGCACGAGGAGAAAGGCTTGTGCATGCTTTGGTACGTGTTTAACAGTCTTTCCCTCTCGGAAGCGGGTACAGAGTTATGCATGTGCATTTTTTTTTTTAAGTGGAGAGAGTGGGGCTTTTCAAAAATTCATCAAAATCCTTGAATATACCTTTACTATTTCTTTAATTTTGAAATGGATGCCAAAGTATAACTTCACAAGATGCTCGACATTCATTTATTCATTTTAGGGAAGACAGTAGGGTTGTCACGATACTAAACTTTTCAACTCGATACCGATACTAAGGAAAATATTCGATACTCGATACCATTTTCGATACCACAAGGATAAAATTTCAACAGAAATATTTTGATTAATAATTAAAATACAATAAATAAATAAATACAATAAACAATAAGAACAACATTTTGAGGTTGTTTGCTGTGCACAGTATTTAGCAAGCTTGATAAAAAACTTACAAAATTAAAATTAAGTTTTCCTTCCTTGGCTATGCTTTGCACACATAACAATGACACTGGCCGAACCGGTTAAGAAACAAAAATAATTCTCAGCAGCTGCACCTGTTACAAAAAAAGGCTGAAACTGAAAAGTGCACAGAATTATTCAATCACACAGTGTTCAGAAAGTGCATTTTCCTCTATTCTGCACTTTAGATGAATGATTGTTTAGGTGCGACTGGTACTCGATACTTTTGAAAATGAGTGTTGTATCCGGATACAACATTTCAGTATCGATACTTTTTTGAATATCGATACTTTTGACAACCCTAGAAGACAGTGTTTCCTGTAAGAGTTGTCACAAAATACAACTTTATTCTCATAATGTTACAATTTTATGCTTTTAATATAGCAGCTTTATTCTCATAATATTATGATTTCATTCCCCTAATGTCATGACGTTATAACGTTACATTACTCTCACAATGTTATGACTTTATGCTCATATTTAAAAGAAAAATCTCTAGTCTCGCCTTAATACTCCTTCGTAATTTGAATTGTGTTGAAACATTAGAGCAAAGAAAAATGCTTGAATGTTGCTGGTTGAAACAATTCTGCAACAAATTCTTGGAGCAACTAGTGTCTAAGTTAGGGAGTGCTGTTTTTCACCTGAGCCCAGGTTGGTTTAGAAAGCTTTTTCCCTAATTTGATAAAACCATAACTTAAGTTGGCATTTCCTCAGGTTATGCATGTCTAAAATTATTCTTTACACTATATAAATAAAATTAGTCTTGAGATAATTTACTTCTAAATCACCATTATGTTTGTTTCAGTCCCGCTCCCGTATCAGAGGGTGCATCAACCATCCATCTCCCGGTAAAAGAATGTCACATCGCTGAAGGCACCAACTGCACCATGTACGGATGGGGGGAAACAAAAAGTACTGCCTTCCTTCACCTTAACACACCTTTTGAGTTTAGGGACATTAAAGCTCAGAGATTTGTACCTGACAGTGTTTATTAAATCACTCATGTGAGATCTCTCTCTGTTCAGATACAGGACCTGAGGAAACTCTAAACTCTGTGACTATGCCAATGGTTGACAATGACATGTGCTCACTAATCAAAGGAGATGCCGGAGAGAACAGGATATGTGCCGGTGGCAACATAGGTGAAGGTGTATGTGATGTAAGTACCTTTGATCTATTTTCTTTGTGAGAAACAGTGATTGACACTGACATTCCTTTATTTTCTGTTTTTATTAAGGTTTAAAGCTTTACACATTAGATGCTAGGTATTGGTATCAGAAAGGGTTGTTGATTTCCTTCTTGTGTCTTCGTTCTTTAATTTCAGAGGGACTACGGTGGCCCGTTGGTTTGCCAGAAGCATGATCGAAAAGTTATCATCGGTGTGAGCATCCCGAGGACAAAATGTGCCTCCTCTCAGCCTGCTCTGTTTGTTAATGTTGCTTTCTACTCGGAGTGGATTTATAAAGTGTTTAAACTATACCCCAGTCTGCAGAGGAACTGACACCTTAGGGTGGGACAGACGTTTAACGTATAGTAGGCGAGGCTGCCAAAGCAATGAGAGTTTTTTCCAACCTGGAGTAGGAATGAGGAAAAGCCACCTTTGGGAGAGTCACCACTTTTTTGGAGGACTTAAAAGACAGAATGTGACTGTGTTAAAAAACTCGAAGATCTGTTTTCATTTAGGCAACAGTAGTCTTTGGCACATGGACAGCGAATGTTAATGTCCCAACATGTTCAGATTTGCCGAAGCCTTTTGCAGACAAAGGAAAAAGCAAAAGACATTTGAGTCAAATCTGAGAGTATTTCCTGGAATGTACTTGAAACTGGTCTCTTTGACTGGCATTTCTTTCAATTTGTTTAGCTGGGCTACAAATTGTTGTTTTTCTTTTATATTATTGTTGTTTTTTATCTCTCTTTTTTAACTTTAAAAATCTTTTATTGGAGGAAAAAACAATATTGAGAGTCCAAAGTGCCACAATTTACAAAATAGATAACCTGTCAAATAGGTTTAATGTGACAGTTTGAAATTAAATTAATTAAATAGAATCTATCAAGACATGTCAAATAAATATGTGATAATTAAAATCAGAGTAGAAATATGTTGTGTAAGAAAATAAAGAAATACATCTAAAACTTAGATGTTTAAATCTTTAATAAAATATCCAATTGGGTAGCTTTAGTTAAACAAATATAAACATTTAAAATTATTTTGTTGCCTCATAGATCTGTTTGGGAGAAAATTATTTTTTAAGTTTTCTTTACCTGTCAAAGGTAACTATGTGAGTTAGGCCTGTTGTAGACGATATGATTGGTCTGCCTTTAAACTGCTGAATAAAACCAATCAGATGTGAACAAACAGATTCAAAATGTTTTATGAGGAATTTAACATATTAAATAATTCAATTAAAAAAAATATATATATATATATATATATATTAATTTGTGATCAAATCTGGTTTGACGTGTTTATTATAGTTTATTTTAAATAATTGTGACACTTTTGGCTCTCAATCCCGAACAGGACTCTTCTTTTCAGGTATTTGCATAAAATGCAGCTGTTGGCTGTTTTAATGTTACAAGCATCAAGCAGAAAACTTTAACAGAATGAAAATACAAGCATGAAAATGTCATTAGAAAATCCCTAAGGCTGCCTATGAGAAAACAAGTAAGTCAGAAGTTTTATACAGCCAAAGCTGTCAGCCTCTAACTCCTGCAGAGGTAGAAAAATTGGACTTGGGATATATATAAATCGCAGCAATGAGTAGATAGAATACTCAACAGTAGCAGCCATGGCCAACCTGTTGGTTTTAATTGTGTGCAGTAGCTGAACTACCTTTTCCCCAGTTAGCTGTAACTGTTAGTTTCCCCTGAGAGAGCGCCTAAGTAGGACTGAGCAAAACGCTCCACATCTTGTGCTAATATTTGTAGCATGAGAGAGAGAAGAGCCGTGCCAAATATAACATGGCTATTTGGTCTCCAGTTTGGAGGGAACTGTGGCCCCTGGTGGGCTGTGTGTGGTCAGTAGAATATTTTTTTGTTTTCTTATATAAAAAGTGACTGTGTGTACAGAGCAGCAGATTTATTTTGTTTCTGACATGATGTGAGATTTTATAGGTCTTATAGATCTGGATTATTGTTGGTTCACCGAGTACGGTCAGATAGGCTTCTTTGAACTTTTGATAATGTGGAATATTTAAAGAAAAACCTTAGTAGGATGTAATAATTAATATTTATTTTTCAGTTTAGAAGAAGCAAATTTTCCTAATAGTTTGTAATTTGATGGTACACTTACCTTGTGGTTTGTGTTATAAACATGGTATGAAAGAGATCGGGGAGCTTGGTGAAATGTGAAGAACACAAATATACGGTTCACTCAGACTCTTCAAAGAGGCTAAGATGGCTCATCAGCTGCTAAAATGTGCCTTAAAAAGCTTTAATACAGATTTTTATCACTGTATAATTATAAAAAACCATGTTACATTATATTTCCATCTCAGGCATGTGCTCTCTATGATTTCCCCCTTTGATCCTTCAAACCAAATGAGCCACTTTCCATTTGATCTCAGTTCTTTATAAATGAGGTCATGTAAAAAGGACAAAAACATTTCAGGATGTTGGGATTTGTTTTTCTTCTTTTCAGGACCTGGCATGTTATCCTAAAGAAATCAAAGATTTGTTGATTTGACATTCTTTACCTTTTGCTAGTCCAAAGAAATGTCACAATTCTTTGGCATATAATCTGAATCTGTTTTCATGAATAAATAAGAGGCAACAACATTCCAATGGGATTGCAAACTCATAGTCGTGTGCATTTCACAAATAAAATCACTGTCATTTCAAATCCAGAAAAATGTGTTCCTCGGCAGACAGGTGAAACCAAATGCCAAAGAATCTTAGTTTTAAGGGAGTTTAGTTTCGACAATGCCCTGAGAGTGTTGCAAATGTTATTTAAATTAGCCTTAAGTAATGTAAATATGTAAATCAGAGTTGTACATTTTGTCAATAGCATACTTATAAAATACAGCTGCTATTTCTTTTTGTACCCATGATATTTTCAGATTTGTGTATTCTTTATATTATTCGTATTTTTAATAAACAATTTTCCATTGAACTGTTTCTCTTGCTGTGCATGTTTTCTTTCATGTATTTCTGCTCGCTTTGTTTTTGGCAGGCATGACTTTCTACCGCTGGGAGAAGCAAACTCCTTGTGTGTGATGAATATTCTTGAGTGGCTGAGGCAGCAGGGGTTATCCATACAACTAGTCGAAGAGATAAATTATAACGCTCTTAGAAACGTTTGGATAACAAATGCGTACATCGTCGGCTTAAGTGGTGTTGAGTTCACTCTGGATGAGCTTTTTAGCCAACTTTGGGTTGCTCAACAGGAGATAAGAAATGCTTTGTGCTCCAGATTTAAGCTTAATGCTAGTGGCAAATAATTACTGGGAGGTTTAAAAAGGCACTCATGGGTGTTTCTTGCATGACAGACAGGGAACATGTATTTAGCATCTGCCACTATGAACAATGTTTAAAACACATAATAGAAAGGAAAAAGCTCCCCATGAGATTTCTGCCTTTTGTGAAGAAATTAAACATTTTGCACAGTAATTTTCTTTTTTCCATAGATTTAATAGATATAAGTGCATTGGAAACTTTGAATGAGCAATCCTAGAATGAATCTGTTCTGCTTGCATTGTTAGATGAAAGGTTTAAAGACGTTGAGGCTGGGAATGTCTTGTTTATAGTGGATGCAGTCCATATTTCAAATACTCAACTTTCCAACGAGATGCTTTTTTCCCCAACCTAATGAGTTAGTCGACAGAGTAGTACAGTAGTTATTAGATATTGTGTGGTTTTATTGAAAGTCTGAAATATAGCATCTAGGTGCTGACAGTGTAAATAATTTACAGTATTTTTACAAACATTTCTGAAACTGCTGTTTTTCTTTGGCTATTCTCAATTTGTGAGTGCTGCTGCCATTTACTCTCCTTCCTTTTTTCAAATAGGAAGTATTCCCTGTGCAGCGGTTTGCATTAGTGTCTTTGTTTTTTTGTTTGTTTTTTGATAAGCCAATAACAAAGATAAAGTTATATTTCGCTGTGCAGCCAAGACTGTGAACTTTATTTGCATTACGCCACAAGAGGGCAGTGTAGCGCAAAGACCGATGGGTTCCTTCAGCCAGAGGGAGATCTAATTAGTCAAAGCCACACACCTGTTTGGTTTGCTTCGTCTAATCAGCTCAGAATTTTTAAACCAGATATGCTTTCGGTAATGTTTGTTCTTCTATTTATATTTTTATTATTCACTATTGTGAATTCCCATGCAGAATGTATTTAGTTATATATAACTATTATATTATGTTATATATATTATAGCATATTTTGCCTCTACAAAAACTGCTTGTTAAATGTAGACAAATGATGTTGCATTAAGTCTACTTGGGTAAATAAAAAAATTTGATGCACTTTAGGGCATCCTTTGTTGGGAGCCATGTCGGGTCAAATTAAGGTAAAAGGAAATACACAGTATACTGTTGTGTTCCTTTCTCATAGAAATGAACTATTTGCTCATAATAGGTGTATTTAGCTGTGCCTCTTCTAGATAATGTGGGAAACAGGTTCTCATGCAAAATTGTCTCATAATAAACTGGAACTTTTTAATACTTTCACACACCTGCATGAAATAAATGTCTCCTTATTTGAGCTCTGCACAGCTAAATGGGGGAATACTGATGAGGGAATTTAGCATTTGATATAGATGTAGCAGGGATATACACATTAATAAATAAAAGGTGAAGGATAGTAGTTTGTTTTATACTAGACCTATGTACAGTACCATTACCATAGAAAAATAATGTTGGATCAGAGCTTCTGCCTTTAGTTCTGCCAGTCAATTAATGATAATCATTGAGTTATTTCATGTCAACACTGAGTTTTCTTGCCCATTGGAGTAAATGGTAAAATGATTCTACTTCGGTGTGTAAGTCCTTATAGCCTTTAGCTTGTTTATTTTAGAGAAGAGTGTTTTTTTCTGTTTTTAACCATTACTAGCTTATGACTGCTAACAACGGGCCTGGTTCTATTGCATGTTTCTTCTTGCTAAACAGGAGTATGTTCTGTCCACTGTCACCACATGCTTTTTTTTTTTTCTTTGACTATCCTTGAATTTAGGTTTTAATATATTTAAAGCAACTTTAAAAAAAAATCCCCATCTGTTATGTTTGGCTATTCCATTATTTAGCTAAAGGCACATGGAATATTTGCTATGTGCAGTTATCAGCATTACAGTACAGTTACTAATCCCCTTTTAAATAAAGATAAACTCATTGAACTAAACACAGCAGCACAGAAGCAATCGTCTATGGAAATCACAGCTTAGACACCGTCATGTGGATATACCATTTACTTATCCACCTTCATGGTGTTATATTCCAACGAGGGTCATTTTGTCAGTAGGCCATTTCCACACTGCTGACCAAGCTGTTTGCATTCTGATCCCGGTCTTTCCCCTCATGACTATTTATCAAGGAGCTCAGAGTCTTAGTGTCTCTTTGCTGTTGTAAAGGGACATAAAGGAACTCAATGCCTTTGCCCTGTTGCAATAATAAAAACCGATACGAAGCAATGCAGATATCAGATCATGTTTAAAGTTTTTGAAGCTTCTCTTTTATAGTCTCTCCCACTGGCTTTCCCTGGACAAAAATCTTGGAAGGATGCCTTAACCTCCTTCTGCACTTTTGCAAAACAGCAAAGCCCACAGGCTGTTAAAAAGATAGCAACCATATCATTTTATGGTGATTCCAAATGATCTGTGGAGCTTTGATTTATGTCGACAAGTCGTCAAGCCAACCAAATCACTGACGAGAAACATGAAAGCACTTTGGATCGAGGTCATGCTCCATTTCCTAATTTATCTTTTAATTTTCTCTGTTAGCACTTCATGTACCCTCTAAAATCTACTCCCTGTTGAGCAAAGCCTGAGTTTATTGGCTCTATCAAAGTTTAGCATTAAAGAACCTATTTCCTGGAAAGACATTAGTAAAACATCCCACTGAAAGAAAAAAGGAGTTTATAGCAGCTTATCTTTCCAACTTTATTTACTACATCCTGTATTGAATTTGTATTTTTTAGGAGGGGATTTATTGCATTAGTTGTATTAATTTTCTCAATCATAGGAACTCTCTGACACTCACTGTATTGGTTTTTGTTTCTTTCTCTATTCCATTTTACAGACGAAAAGACTTATTGAAACATCAGTTGTTTGTCTCCCTCTGCTGGACAGAAATTGTCTCTACAGTTTAAGAGGTAATTTACTTAAAGCAGTTCTTGGCTTCTCTAAAACTAAATGTTTTAAACTATCGGTATGTTTAAATATTCAGTCTGACTTCCGTACCATGTAGCCTGATAGATGAACATCTTCTCATGTTTAAAACTGGCTCCACACAAAGGACAAACTCTGCTGGTTCCACTGCTGAGCGACAGGGCAGAGTGCTCTGATGTTCTCAGAGGTCAGCTGGAAGGTGTTCCTTGGGTTTATGTTATCTTGAACTGCTGGGAGGGTCACGGCGTGTCTGTCGAGATGCAGCGGAGTCCTGCCCATGGTCTGTGGCAACATGTCAAACATCTGCTGGGGTACTGAGGTAAAACAGTCAGAAACAGGCGTACTTCTATATCTGTCAACATTTTTTAGAATAACAAACTAGAAATAAAAACATAGAAATAGGAAAAACAAGCAATTTCCTAATCTTAGGCAGGTAAATATTACTAGACTGACCTTGTTTCCTTCATTTCTTACTCTAAAGGTATATTGCCTTGAGAATGTGCCCTTAATCCCCCAATTCCTTCAGGTCAAGGGACTAACCACTTTGTGGCTGAGTTGCAGTTGTTCTCAACAACAGCAACTGCAGCCAGTTGAGAGTAAAATATTGAGCACTGAGGGAATTGGACAGCTGGCCTTGTTGTACAGTTGGCATCCTCCCACAGCACCATGCTGGAATTCCCTGAGCTCCTGATAGCGATCTTTTGAAGTATTTGTAGAAAAGCTCTGCCTGCCTAGGTCAGTGTTTCCCATATTTTTTTGACTTGTGTAACCCTTTGGACATTTTGAGTCCCCCCTCCCAGTCAAAAGTATTGATGATTGTCCAAAAGTGAAAGGTACAATAACTGATTATAAAATTAAAAATATTTTACTTAATCTTTTAATATGAGCATTTCATTTTAATAGTTTTATACTTTTCATCTCAATTAAAAAACTCAACATAAGTATGTTGCCTAGAAGTTAGTAAGGAAATGAAATATAAAAGAAAAATCCTATTATAAACCTGTATTTATAAAACTGGAGCTCCTCTGAGTAACTCCCTTATAAATCATATTTAAACCTGATGAATTGGGAACAAAATGAATTGGGAACAAAAATTATAATCAGACTGACTTAATAATTTAATTTATTTTCATCAAAACACCTGAGCTGCTTTGATGAGCTCCAATTGATCAGTATGAAAAACAGCTGATCCTAGGCTGTTCCCTACATCCAGTCTGTTCCTCTGCTTGGTTTTGATGTTTCATAGATGAAGGTGAACGCAAACATATAAGAAAAACTAAATTTTCTCTTGATAAAAGCTTGTTTAATTTAAGTTGGGTCCTCGGAAGGCAAAACAGATCCCAGCCCTATTTAATTTTACTACTCAAGACATAAGTTTTCATTTATCCCTTGCAATGCACCCATGGACCACTAGTGGTACAGTAGCCCCTTTTGGCAATCACTGGCCTAGGTGATTGATTTTTATACAGGTACAGGTTTTTCTGTATTATTCGATGATAAAATTGCAGAATAGCCTCCCATTGATAGGATAGATGAACAGATTCAGACTTGTCTCTGATAAAAGATGGAAATATCATCTTACCAGCTTCTGTTTTAGAGAAGTAGCCATGTTGTAGTTTTCCGTGGACTCTGGAAGCCAAAGTGCTGTTTTGATAATTCATTCTTAATATCCCAGTTTCCTACAATCAAAAATGAAGGGATGTAAATAAAAAAGTATATAGCTCCCCCATTAAAAGGTTTATTAATGTAAAAGTGGGACTGGTTAATCTTTTCTAAACTATTTCCACATAAAATGCAACTTGTATCCTGTCTGTATTTTTCTGAATGATGCATTTATAAGGTGATGACATTTTAATACTTTTTGGATTAAGGGATTATTTCTGAATTGAATTTGTCTTTAGTTAACCATTGCAAGTGAAAAGTCAGTAAAACACTTTGCATAATGGCCCTAAATCAAAACTGTCATATTCTTGTGTGTGTGTGTGTGTATATATATATATATATATATATATATACAAATTGCTCCTCATTTCTCATCAGACTTGCACTATGCATATTTGCATTCTTGAGTTGATTGAATTCTTTGTCAGATAATTGTAATGAAAGCCTGGCATTTCCACACTTTTAAGAGCCAGAAAAACAAGATCTATGATAGTTAAACCTTTAAATACTTTTTGGAACACAACTGATCACAATATAGAGTTAAGAAGAATAGATGTAGAACTCAAACTTGATATTGTAGACAGAGAAATAAACATTCTGATCAAAAAAATTTCACCCTACCTGCGAAGTGAGGCTGTGTGTGAGGGCTGGATTTAGAGGAACACATCCTCTTTTCTGCTGCAGGTCTGTAGCTGTAGAAGATATATACTTTTTTAAATATCCTAAATTTTTATGCTTTCCAATGTAGTTCCTTTATGTAACACACCTAATTGCAAATGTTTTGTATATTTGTCCAAACCAAACATCCTTACTCTTTGTTCTGTTTCTGTCTTTGCTCTCTCTCCTCCATTTAGCCCGTCTGTTTGAAAACCAAACCTGCAGAAACAGATGTATCATAAGCTGAAGTCCTAATGCTGAATAAATGTATCTATATAAACTAATTTGGTGGTTTAAAAAGTGCACCTTGATGGTGTCCTCGGGAAGTTTAATTTCAGCTGACAGTTTTTCTCTTGTGTACAAATCAGCGTACTGGCTTTTGGAGAATTCTAGTTTGAGAGAGATGAAAAAAAAATTTCTGGAGCATAAACACACTGAACTGTCACAGGATGATGAATGGGTTGATTACCTCGCTCGAGTGCTCTGCTCTGCTCCGGGGTGAACGTGGTGCGGTTCCTGTGCCGAAAACCTTCAGATTTCTGGTCATCAGAGCTCATCACCTGCTCATTTACCTCCTCGACCACGGAAAGAAAATCTGCACAACATACGTTAGTTTGACACACTGGTTAACTCTATAATTACATTTATTTATTTACACTATAAAGGGAATTTTGGAGACCATTTATCATAAGTTATTACATTATGTTCTCTCTGATAAACCCATTAGGGTTTGATATTTTTCAGGAAAGTAGACAAATATATAATTAACATAAATGTTCATATTTAACAATTATTGCATAATAAAATAGGCACAGAGGTCAAACTGTAATTGTTTTGGGATTCTTTAGCAGAAGCTGGTTTTCTATAGAATATGATGCAACTAGAAATTCTCCTGTTTCAGAGGTTGCTTGAGGAAAAACAAGCTCAATGGAGAGTATATAAGATCAAAAGGTCCAAAAATAGTCCACTGATGGAAGTGAGAAATTTCAGGTGTATGATTTAAATAATTTGGATATATTGTAAGGTCCCATTAAACTAATACAAGTTAAACGTTTGCGTTGACTATGGACTGAATATAAAAAACATTCTGGGTCTTTAAGGTTATGAATTTAGTCTGGGGTTCTGAAACATGTTAAGAAATAATTCAAGGGTTTAACTTTGAAATGAAAGTTGGTGGGGACACTATAAGGGTGGCGGCTGATGGACCTACAGTTACTCGACACAATCGCTTTCAATATGGTTTGTATTTTCCAAAAATTAGCTCTAACATATATTTATTGAATGTTTTCCTATTGTTGAGAACACAACTCCAAAATACACTGATCTTTATATTTATAGGTAGTTGGACATTAATGTATATAAAAAAAGATGAATAACAGCAATATCGATGCCAACAGCAATACATCATGCCTCACTAGTATGGAAGCCATTTCAGTTGCATTCATTAATTCATCAAGAAAAATGTGGATTGATTGATGTTTTCATTTTCAGCTTTATCTTCCTTCAAAAGCAGCTAAATCAAATTTAGAAATTTGTCCCACATATTGTTGAGAATTAATTGGTGTGGACATGTCCACACAGTCCTTCAGAAAATTATGCCCATGAACTAATGCAACTTTCTGAGGTGAGTTTTACATGTTTTGCATAGTTTCTGCAACTTGATGTAAACATTTTTGATAACTTACTCTGTCCAGCCTTGAATGGAGCATTGACTTCCATGCACATCATTCCATGGTCATAGTGGATCTTTCTTAAAATTCTATTAATGGATGACACCTTCCAGGAAAGAGCGCACAAAGCCTCGTCAGGTGCAGTTGAACTGATCAGAACTGACAGCGGGTTCATATTCCACTTACGCTCGGAAGTTTGGCTTCTTTACATGTTCTTCCAAGCCGTCTTCGTATCTCCCAAGCAAAAATAGTTGGATTTTCCCTTTTGCACTGGATGATAGTGGAGACCACAGCTGGAGTGAGAAGGCGAGGGCGGCTCCCTCCTAAGGATTTGGGCTTCATCAGCCCTGTGCGCCTGTAGCGGCACAGGATCTTACTGACGCAGCCGCTGGACACCTGCAAAGACGCACTGATTAATGCGCAATCCTTTACAAATCAGTTTCACTCATTCACACCAATATTGCTTTCCATTTTTATTAAGCGTTCCGTCTGAAACAAATATTTGTGTAAGCTGTTTTTTTTTTTCCATTGCGCGCACCTGGAGAATCCTGGAAATGTCACTTGGACGGACTCCTTCCGAGGCCAATTCAATCATCCTCATTCTTTTGGATTCTGAAAGAGGTCTCCCGTTGAAAAACGTCCCTCCTAACTGGTTCACACTTCCACCACCTTATCAACCGTATTCACATTATTAACTCAGCCTAAAAAGTCCAAATGAATGTATATATATTAGGATTGTAGAACTAACCTTGGCAAAGCGGATCGATGCTTGTTCCGCGCATCTCTCCTTGGTTCCGGGCTCCTTGGAAAAATGTTTTCTTTCTTCTGTAGGGCTGACTTCAGAGTAAAATCAGACAGGTTTAACTTCGAGCACCTTTTGAGAATGACAGTGTGCAAAACCAAAACCCTTGGTAGACATTTATATGCCTACAAGAGCTAAACAAATGTGGTGGCCCGCATGCGTCCTGAAATCAATAAAGCTGGGAGGGCATGTGGATAAACTTCTTTATGGTCATTTATTTACTATGTTATGCAGGTAATGAGTTTCATTGGTTTATATTTAGGGATATCAGACCAAGAGGGACAATATTTAACACATTTTGTTTATCCTGAAATGTAATGCATTCGGTATACTTATGGAAATAAGTTTTATTTGATGTATATTTTAGCTCTACATTTGAAATGGTTGGTGATATATTATCACATTACAGTAACAGTCTTCATTGTGTTTTGATTGGATTTTATGTGACAGACCAACTTAATGTGCAGCTGGTGTATCAGGAGTGATTATTTTCAAACGTTTCCATTTATACAAATGAAAATACAACCAACATGTTAATACTTGATAGAATTGCTACAACTATTGCTGCAAGTATTTTGGTGTGGTTCTCCAGCAGATTTGCAGATCTAGAAACATACATTTGTTCCCCAAAGTTTCTTCAAGTTATTAATTGAAGTCAAGAATTTGATTTGGACATTTTAACCCCTGAATAAGATTTAATCTATTTCAGTTATGTCTAACTCTTTCCTTCTTCAGGATAAAGACTGAACAAGGAAACCCAAACTAGGGATTTTGAATTCTATTCTTTAAATATCTCAACCACTTATTTGTTTGATTCATGGTATTTTTCCTTCTCTATATATCTGTAGCAAACCCCTTATCCCTAAACATTAAGAGAGGCTTAGTAGGAATAAAAAAAAACATTAAAATATATATATATATAAATTGCAGTTTATGGTTCAAATGCGGTTCTGGAAGTTTAACAATTCAAAGTACTTGTTTCCATGATGTTCTTTGGAAATGACAGCTCAGAAGATTTCAGAGAGCATTTTACCTTCATCTGATGATTTGAATCTTTCCTTTTGCGCAAAGCTTCAATTAGAGATGTTGATGTGCGCTCATGTTTGGTAACAATGAGGTCCCAGCTTCACAATGAACCTGATGGATCAGCTCCAGTGTGTTTCAGGGTTTGGAGTCACGTGACACAAGCATCCTCGTTTCCATCTGAAGTGGCTCGGATTAAACGGATCTCTGGCCTCCTCTCATAAAGCAAACATTTGGAAATCTGCTCCAATGACGACTGCCATATGGTAAAGTGCTTTTGATAAATCATAAATCCATCAGGTTGTCTAGCTTTATTACATTTTCCTGCAAAACGTGAACAAATATACTCGCGCACATACAGGCGCAAGGAGAGGGCCAATTGGGGGGACCTCGCTTATCCAGAAGTGCGAGGCTAACATCCTCACAGATGTTCCTTGGGCAGACAGCAGATAAAAATACGTTGTAAACGCTTTCAAGGGGAAATATTTGACGAGCAAATATTAGCTCATGTGAAAACCCCACACAAGGCTCGTCTTTGGACCTGTTTAATGACTAATTGAATATCATTAGTTGGGTCCACAGACACCGAAGTGGCACCGACATAAAGAGTCAGAATTTACAAAGCCATATGGCCCATATTATACATTAACCATGAGTCAAATGACTGAAACACACTGTGTACAGTTAGGAAGACTGGTTGAAGGACAGGCGTTCTTGGACACCATCATCTCCATGCCAACCAGGACAAAGAATAAATGAGGCAAGCCTTTTCTTTTATCATAGGAGATTTGATGAGGTTATTACTTTATAGGTTACTACTTTGCTGCAGGCGTAATGTGTTCTAAAAATGCAGATTTAATTATGCTACCTATACCCCATTGTTAAAGCAGCAACACGCTTTCCTTGTGCGTAAATTGTCTGCTCTGTGCACCGACAGGCGGGGTTTTTATTACCTTTAGTGGCACAGCCAACGAGTGCGCTTCAAATAAATGTTTCAGATGTTTGAATTGGGCACTAAACGCGTAAATGGGATCATGTTGGTGTGCAACTTGTTTCTAAAGCGTGTGCTAGTGTTAACAATGTAGCCGCGTAAAAAGATGACGAAATGTCTCCAAAGCGCACGGTGGTTCTGCGCGCAACGGAGCTGCGCCTTACTTCAGTTTCCTTGTTCGCGTTTCGAGAAAGAAACTCGCTCCTAAGAATTTAAGTTTCTTTTAAGCCTGACATTTTTGTTCATAAAAATGTTTTTAGCCGACCATTTAAGACATTCACTACTAATAAATATGCATGTGTAATTTTAAATCAACCGAAACCCCGCAGGGTAGACTATGAAGGCCGATGATTCATCTTTCTAGATAGATTTTTCTTTATACTCTTCCGACATGTATTCAGTCTATTTAACCTGGAATTATGTAACCAAATACGGTCCAATTTAGTCTTTTTTTTTAATAGTTAGTGAAGAATTGTGGTAGATAACCCATCATCTGGGAATTATCTTATCTGCGTTGGCAATGTTAAGCAGGCAGCCTTTCCAAATTTAAAAACTTATTCCTGATCCATTAACATACATTTTAATCTGGAGAGTTGGTTTTTAAAGGTAAGAATTTTTAATGTCTCCTAGCAAATACATCATTTTAACAATAATTATATTTCCCACTTTAAACTCTGAAGAGAAATAAAAGACCAACAAGCTCTGATTAAAAATAAGTCTTTGGTTCTTTGTCAGCTTTCAAACCTGTGGGGGGATGTTATCTTTTTTCAATGGTTACCCTTATCTATACACCAGTTTTCTCCTAATTGGAAAGACAGTAGATGTATTTCCCCCCAAATTTCTATTTTTTTAATAGTGAAATTAAGCAATACAGTATATGACATCAGGATAACCATCTTTTACATATTTATATTTTTACTTTTTCTATTGAAGAAATGACTCCCTGGCTTCAACATTTCCACTTGAAAGTAGTTCTACAGGTTGTCTTTAAAGGAAGGTTTCAGAATAAAGACATCTGTTTTTTGTTCTTATTTAGATCCCTTAAAAAAAAAAAACCTGTTCAGTTGGTTATTATATAATTTGAATATAATTTGAATTAGAATCATAACTGATAAACATCGAAGTCTGTTTAAATGTCAGCCTAAAATGCTATCACATACAGGTGCTGGTCATAAAATTAGAATATTATGAAAAAGTAGATTGATTTCAGTAATTCCATTTAAAAAGTGAAACTTGTATATTATATTCATACATTACATACAAACTCATATATTTCAGATGTTTATTTTGTTTAATTTTGATGATTACAAATGACAACAAATGAAAATCTCAAATTCATCATATCAGAAAATTAGAATATTGTGAAAAGGTTCAAAATTGATGGCCCCTGGTGCCACACTCTAATCAGCTAATTAACTCAAACCACCTGCAAAAGCCTTTAAATGGTCTTTCAGTCTAGTTCTATAGGCTACACAATCATGGGGAAGACTGCTGACTTGACAGTTGTCCAAAAGACGACCATCGACACCTTGCACAAGGAGGGCAAGACACAAAAGGTCATCGCTAAAGAGGCTGGCTGTTCACAGAGCTCAGTGTCCAAGCACATTAATAGAGAGGCGAAGGGAAGGAAAAGATGTGGTCGAAAAAAGTGTACAAGCAAGAGAGATAACCGCACCCTGGAGAGGATTGTGAAACAAAACCCCTTCAAAAATGTGGGGGAGATTCACAAAGAGTGGACTGCAGCTGGAGTGAGTGCTTCAAGAACCACCACACACAGACGTATGAAAGACATGGGTTTCTGCTGTCGCATTCCTTGTGTCAAGCCACTCTTGAACCACAGACAGCGTCAGAAGCGTCTTGCCTGGGCTAAAGAGAAACAGGACTGGACTGCTGGTGAGTGGTCCAAAGTCATGTTCTCTGATGAAAGTAAATTTTGCATTTCCTTTGGAAATCAAGGTCCCAGAGTCTGGAGGAAAAGAAGAGAGGCACTTCATCCACGTTGCTTGAAGTCCAGTGTAAAGTTTCCACAGTCAGTGATGGTTTGGGGTGCCATGTCATCTGCTGGTGTTGGTCCATTGTGTTTTCTGAGGTCCAGGGTCAACGCAGCCACATACCAGGAAGTTTTAGAGCACTTCATGCTTCCTGCAGCTGACCAACTTTTTGGAGATGCAGATTTCATTTTCCAACAGGACTTGGCACCTGCACACAGTGCCAAAGCTACCAGTACCTGGTTGAAGGACCATGGTATCCCTGTTCTTAATTGGCCAGCAAACTCTCCTGACCTTAACCCCATAGAAAATCTATGGGGTATTGTGAAGAAGAAGATGCAATACACCAGACCCAACAATTCAGAAGAGCTAAAAGCCACTATTAGAGCAACCTGGGCTATCATAACACCTGAGCAGTGCCACAGACTGATCGACTCCATGCCACGCCGCATTGCTGCAGTAATACAGGCCAAAGGAGGCCCAACTAAATACTGAGTGCTGTACATGCTCATACTTTTCATGTTCATACTTTTCAGTTGGCCAACATTTCTATAAATCCTTTGTTTTTATTGGTCTTCAGTAATATTCTAATTTTCTGATATGATGAATTTGAGATTTTCATTTGTTGTCATTTGTAATCATCAAAATTAAACAAAATAAACATCTGAAATATATGAGTTTGTATGTAATGTATGAATATAATATACAAGTTTCACTTTTTAAATGGAATTACTGAAATCAATCTACTTTTTCATGATATTCTAATTTTATGACCAGCACCTGTATATTAAAAACAAGTTTCTTGCAGGTGATTTTGCGAGGCTGTGATGTGATTGAACTCTCAGGTGTAAGAAGCACATTTTTTAAGCACTGTGTTTATAAGAAATTTACTCTTTAGAAGGATGGTTAAAAAAATTGAGTTGAATTAAATTAGATGTTCTAAAACCTTTCTGCACAGTATTATAGGAAAAAATCAATAATCAGTAAAGACTAAGGTGCTATGATATTATCGGAGATTTACAAAAATATGTTTCCCATTACTATTTAAACTCTGAACCTCCTAACCAACGTGTGAGAGCATTGCTACAACCCTCAGAAGAATTGAGTATAGAAATGAGAGGAGTCATAGATTTAATGTAATCTTTTGTTTAAAAATCCTTATAAATTAAACTTGAGAGAACAAAATGTATGCCAAGCATTCAAAAAGAGTTAGAACATGTTCTGAATTTATTTTATATAATAGAAGATGTTTCTTTTTCAGGATTAAAAACAAACCTTTAAAAACATCATTATTTTAAAACCTATTTTCTATGGCTTACCTGTTGCACATGAGAGGTAAAAACAGGAAAAAATTAGAAATCTAGAGTTACTGTTGAATATCATGAGTTTTATGACTAAAAGGAAGAGAACTGCGTGATGAAAGGGACACTACAGATGACATGTGAGAGCAGATTGAATAAAAAAGGTTTGACCACTTAACACTTCTCTGTTTTTGCTTTAAGGTCACATCCAATTGTTTTAGATCATAAAGTAATTTTTATCATTAGTTTAATATCTGCCAAAAAAAACAACAACTCTTAAATATATCCTTAAGATTTTTGGGAAAACTTTCTTGTGACTGGTGGGGAAAAATGTTGAACCTTTTGAAAGGTTTGCCTTTCATCATATCTCTTTTTAAATCTAACAAAACATTAAAGGAAAAAAAATATCAACCTGGTGATCAAATTGGTAATATGAAGGTCTGTGGCTACATTGATAACTGAAGAACGAGATGCTGATATTAATCAGGGCATTCATCTGAAGCTCAGCAGTAATTCTACCTCTATATGCTTTAACAATATATTAAAATAAAGATTTCTGAGGGACTAAAAGTCATTTACATAACTTTAATTTGTGCAAAGAGCAACAGGACACATTTTCTTTACATTGATTTAAAAAAAATTGGTAGTTATCACAAAGTGTTGATGACATTTTCCACCAAGGGGAACACAATTAATTATGACATTTGGTGAATAGTTACTATTTCCTATAAGACCAGGTTTTTTCAGGGAGCTTTTTCTCCTTAATAGAGTAAAATATGCTGTTTATATGGGTCTGACATAAGAGTTACATTTATCAGACAAAATATCTGATGCCAGT